TTAGGTTTTTGTCATGGGGCATGTGTGCTCGTGGAATGGGGGGGTGGTGGAGAGGGAAAGTGGAAAATCACCCTCCAGGGGGCATGGTCATGCCATAATCCCCTCTCAATTCTCCTCCCGAGATTTTAGGCACACATGCACATGCACACGCGCTGGGCCTGGGTTTCAGACTATGACTGGCCATGTGGGAATCCAGCACCGTGAGTACCACACCACCTACTGACCCCAAGAATTGAATAAACTCTTAAAAACTATGCTGATTCTGATTCTGCATGTCTACCTAGCTCCCTGGAGATGCTGATGCTGCTCATACCCAGACCACAGTGTCGGCAGCCAAAGATCTAACCAATAACTTAAATTTGGTCTATTTCCTAACTCGTCACACTTAATCTAATCTCACAAGCGGAGATACCATATCAACTGCTGTTTCCTCCTTGTAGCAAATAGTGTGTGACATAAAGTAGATGCTTAATAAAATAAGTGTATGCTAAATGAAAAATAAATGAGTGGCGAAAGGCCGTTCCGACATGGCGGGCCCACTAGGATGCCAGATCTAAGGAGTCCTCCCTCAGCCTGCTTCCTGCCCGGCTTCTTGTTTGTGCCTCACTCATCTTCCTCACCCACTAGCAGGCCAAATGCTGCCACGCGTTAGAGCAAAAGAGAATGTGTTTGGTTCCCTGCTTACCTGGACTCACCACCTCATTGAATTAGTTTACGGAGAGAAATTCCCACCAGCAGCTGGAACCCTCACCTGCTCAAGCCTACAAGTCTTTGGGGTCAGGTAAGTAGAAATCCTGGAGGCCTCACCGTGCTGAGGTCCTGGCTAGAACCTCGGAAGGGAGCTAGGGGTCCTTGTGCAGGGTGAAAGTTTTACTCTGAGCTCCAGGAGAAGAATCCCAGCCTTCACCACGCTCCCACTTCCTGGCCAGAGCCCTGGGAGCTGGGAAGCAGGAAGCCACACCCTTTCCTTTGTCTGAGGCTCTTGCATTTCAGGCCTGTAGGGTCACAGTTCCAGGTTCTCAGGAGAAACAAATCCAATCACACACTCTAAGTTGATTTAGGAATACCAGGTCATCACTGCAAAGCACAGTCTACAACTTAATCACCATTATTAAATCCTGTTTGAATAGTTTATCTTGAAAGTACCCTGCAACGGGTGTGGTCATGCTGAAATTCCTTCTCCATATTTCCATCCTGTTGGGTTTTCAGGAATGTATACGCAGCCACCTGGCATGTTTTTCAAGCCATTGGGGGGTCAAGATTTGAATCATGGTCAGCCATGTGGATCCAGCTCCTTTATCACTAGGCCACAGGGCCTCCATTTTGGAGGACCGTCTCCATTATAAACTATTAAATTCCTATGACTAATAACTCAGGGCTGATAGCAGTCTAAGGTTTCTGCCCTCCAGCAAACTTACTGCCCCTCCCTGGAGCTACAGGATAACCTGAAAACCTTGGGTGGGTGAGTACCTTAAATAGATGAACACCTTGAACGGATTAGTACCTTGAATGGATTAAATTTCCTGCTTCTCTGACTCCTCCCTTTGACGCTGTATAGGGCGGGATCTGAGCTCAATCTCCACCTCGAGACCCAATTCCCCCATAAAAGACCATGTCCAATTCCCAGTTGGGCCGGAGGTTTTGAGTGTTAACTCCTCCGCACCCGCTGGCATAATAAACAGCTCTCCTAATCTCTACGACTGCTGCTTCCCATTCCTTGGCATCTGGTTTTCTGCAACAGAGAGGGGCTGAGCATTGATTGAGCTGCTTCACCAATGGCTAATGATCTCATCAGTCATGACTACGTCATGAAGCTTCCATAAAAAACCACATGGCCTGGGAACCAGAAGTTAGCATAATGGCTATGTCGCTGGACTCCCACATAGTCGACTGCGGTTTGTGTCCTGACCCAGTGGCTTAAAACTCACGCTGGGCACGTGTGCGTGCGTGCCCAAGATTCCAAGAGGAGAATGGAGGAGAAGGGATTGAGGCGTGACCATCCCCCCTGGGGGGTGATTTCTCGCTTTCTGCCTGTCTCTCTCTGTCTGTCTGGCAAGCGCACGTGCCCTATAGCGAAAACCTCTCAAAAACAAACAAACAAACAAACAAAAAAACCCACATGGCCTACTGCAGCTTGCTTTCTCACTCCTCCTCCCCTCACTTCTGTCCCTCTCTGATCTAATTTAAAGAAAGAGAGAAAGAAAGAAAGAAAGAAAGAAAGAAAGAAAGAAAGAAGAAAAAGAAAACAAAAGTATGCATAGATTTCTAAGGTTTTTTTTTGTACTGAAATAAACTTGTACTTTAATCCCATTTTCAGTAAACTTTTTGAAGTCTCCTCAAAAGTTTTGACTGCACCTAGCACTAATGGTTTAACCTATTCATTCAGTGTAGTTCCAAGCAAAAGTGCAAGTGTTTTTGGAAACTGACAAGCCAAACTTAAAGTTTATATGAGAAATAAGATATTAGGAATGATCAAGACATATGAGGGGAAGCCAAAAAGTTTATGGAAAATGGAATTAAAGTATAAATTGTGGGCTTGGGGGCCAGCGAGTGGTGGTGGCTAAGGTGCTAGATTCCCACATGGGCAGCTGTGGTTCAAGTCTCAGACCTGGCAGCTTGAAAATCATGCCAGGCACGTGTGTGTGTGTGCCCAAAATCCCAGAAGGGACTGCGGTGTGGCCATCCCCCTGGGGGGTGATTTTTCACTTTTGCTCTCACTATCTGTCTCTCTCTCTGGTGAACACATGTGCCCTGTGGCAAAAACCTTAATAAAATAAAGTGTGAGAGACCAGCAGTTAGCGTAATGGCTATGTTGCTGAACTCCCATGTAGCCGACCGCGGTTTGAGTCCTGGACTCGGTGGCTTAAACTCACGCCGGGCGCATGCCCAAAATCCCGAGAGAAGGGAGGAGAAGGGATTGCAGTGTGGCCAATCCCCCTGGGGGGATTTCTTGCTTTCTATCTCTCTGTCTCTGTCTTTCTGGTGAGCACATGCGCCCTATAGCAAAAACCTCTCCAAAAAATAAATAAATGGTGTGGGCTCTTGGAAGGCATCTAATAAACAGAAAACTGTTGCTAGTTATTAGAATACAAGCTAAAAATGCAAGCAAGGAAGGGCTCAGGACTTTTTTTTTTTAATTAAGTTTGTTTATTTCTTGCATGAGTGAGAGAGACAGACAACACCCTCAGTAGGGTCTTATTCCTTTTTATAAAATTTCTAGAGGGTGTGTGTGCTCGCTGGAGACAGAAAGAAAAAGAGAAAGTGAGAAAATACCCGCCAGGAGAGATGGCCACACCACAACTCCTTATCCTTAGGTTCTTCTCTTGGGAGTTTGGGCATGCATGCACATGCACCCGACATGTTTCTTAAGGTGTCAGGTCTGGGACTTGAACTTTATCATTGGCCATGTAGGATCCACCTGCCTTAGCTACTATACCACTGGCTGGCCCCCCAACAGAATCTTGATGCTATAATCCACCCTGAGCCTTCAGTCAGTCTGGATCATGGGCACAGGTTTTCCCCAAGGTATTTAGATCTCTAGGTGAAAACCTTGAATCTTCCCATGTGGGTAAGTGAAGAGCATTGCATTTTACCACAGTGCTACTGCTTGGCCCCAGGAATTACCTTGTGATGGTGTTGCTAAGGTGTAACTTACCAGGAAGGGATATGTTTGTTGCTGTGGTGGGGCAAGTCCTGCTCCATCCAAACTTCTTAGTGCTCTTTCAAGCCCTGAAATAAACCCTGATTTACAGCATTTATAAGCTAGAGAAACGTCCTCACTTCATGCATTGGATTAGCTCTCCTTATTTCTGGTTTCCCTTTCTGCAGCTTAAATGACCTGTGGTCAACAGTGGTCCAAAAATATTAAATGGAAAGTTCCAGAAACAAACAATTCATAAGTTTTTAATTGTGCTTGATGAAAACTCCCAGCTATGCTCTGCCAGGAACATGAAGCATCATTTGGTCACACTGTGAATGCTGTCTGCCTGTCATGTCGTAGCCATCTCAACTGTCAGAAAAAAATATGCACCCACTGGGGGTTTCAAGACATCTCTCTCCCACACAGACCACTGTATTTCCATGGCTCTTGCTTGTCTTGAGTCTACAGACCCATCCACATCCTCGAGAGCTGAAAATTCAAATAACCAAATAAAACTTTGTTTTGCCTTTTCAAGGTAAAAGTTGTATTTTAGAATAAAAATTGGCAAGGGCAGATAACTTTGGTTTGTGTATTCCCCTTCTTTTGTGGTAAAATCATTTTTAAGTAAATGTTTTAAGTACAGCATTGTAGAATGCAGCTTAGAACCTTGTTATCTGAGGCATTTTTAGAGTCTAGTCTTTCTGTTGATATTTGATAAGGAGGAAAATGAAGTTAAGTGCCTTCCCCAAAGTCACAGAACTCGATAGCACAGCTGAGACTACACTCCTAGGATTCAGATACCCAAATCATTATTCTTTCTAACAAAATAGTAATGCTCAAATATTTGATATACTTATCATAAAAAAAGGGGATAAAAACACTGGCCAGAATAATCTAATGGCACTTCATTTCCTATGAATTCCTCTCTGTTTCAACTCTTAGGAAAAATTGTGGTTATAGATTTCTATCCTAAAAACTGGGTCAGGGGCCGGGAGGTGATGCAGCAGTAATGCAACTGGACCCACATGGGAAGAGTCCTGGGTTCATGTCCCAGGACCTCACTGAGCACACACGTGTACCCACAATGTGGGCTGGCTGAGGCTGGGGATGGGTCACAGTGTAAAGACTGTAGTGGGGTGCCTGTCTCTTTCTTTCATGGATGAAGTGAATAAATGACAACAATAAAAAAATTGGATTTAATATGAATAAACAAGGTATAATGGATAAGAAATTTTTACAACTTTGAAGTATGACTTGAAAGATCTCGACTCTTAAGTACAAACTGCCCAATGATGGCCCTTACCCTCTCAAAAGAAAATCAAAGTGGAATAGGGATGAATAATGGACACAGTACCACATGTAGAAATTAGAACACTTTATTATAAACATTTCCAGAATATAAACTGATTTTATATCAAGACTCTTTCAAACTTTTAAAACTAGAAGTAACCTAAGTGTTTTATTATTTTAATGTATTATATTTCCCACTTTCCAACCTAGAAAATACACTGCAAATTAGAACTAACAAAGGAAAAAATAACCTAAATTGCTTCATAGAGAAAACCAATGAACATAAAAATATCCAATTCAAAACTAAAACATAATCAAGAAATAGAGTCTGTAAAGTCTTTTAATCTTTCAATTTAAAATAAATGACCTTCCAAAGGAAAATAATTCTAACATCTTTAGTTACTCTCATTAAGAACAATTATATTATATGAAAGAAAAATGTGATAATGTTCTTAGAAAGTGAGGAAAAGTCATTTCCATGTTGGAGGGCAAGTTTCCTAAATATCTTCTGTTTGCTTGGCTTTTGCTAGAAGTTAAAGTACCTGTCCACTCAAGAAAAGTGATAGGAATGTGAACATAATAAAACCAAGCTCTTTTTCAACTATTTTTTCAACTTAACCTCAGGACAATCAACTAAAGAGCTTCAAAACCCAAGGATGGACTGATCCCAAAGCATTTCCTCCTCTGTCCTTTCTTCGCCTTGTTCCTTTTTCTCTTTTCTACGTTTACGTTCCTCTTTCTTAGAGGATACATCTCGGCTTTTTTTCTCTTTTCGATTCTTAAGCTTTTCTGTACTGACCTGTACAGTTTCTGTTTCCACCTCCGTTTTCTTTCTTTGGGTGCTCTTGTGTTTGTCTGAATCTATTTCTTCACAACTTCTTTTCTTCTTATGTTTGGGTCGCTCCTCCTCTGGTCTTTCTCTGCTTTCCTCTGGGTGCCTTTTCCTCTTCTGATGCATCTGTTTATGACTGGTTTGATGGGCACTGGTACTGTTTTCTGAGGAGTGGTGCTTGTAAACTCCAGGTTCTACACTGTATGAACCGCAATTATATTCTTGCTGACTAAGATCCAGGGGTACTGGCTTTTCTGAGAAACAGTCCCTGGTGAACTGACAGTAGCTCAGAGAGTCTAGTCTCAGCCTGCTGTCATGAGCTGGTAACCACTGAGGTAACCGGTTTTCCACTGTCTGTGAAATATTGCATGATCTTGGGTAGGTCTGGACAGTTTCAGATGGGAGTCTTTGATCAAACATTCTATACCTGGGCCTAGAATCAACCTTTCCTTTGTACCCAGCGGTTTCCCAACAATCCTCTCTCATCTTTCTGAAACAAGTCTTTGGCTCTAAGCCTCTGGCTTTCTGCACTTTAATGTAATCTTCAAGTTCGTCTTGAAAAGAGTCATATGTCTTCTTTGAATGCTTCATTAGGTTGACAAAGAGGGACTCTCTGCAGAAAAGATGGAGAAAATTCTTACTAGATTATTTTGTTCTGAATATTTCCTTGGCTCTTGAAAAGAACTTTCCAGATCAAATAAGCCCAAACAAATGAGAACCTACTTCAGCATAAAAGTTAAATTATCATGACATTATATGCCAAAAAAGTAGCATTAGGATGGTCAAATATTTCCCAGGCTACTCACAAGTAACTTTTCTCTTCTCAGAAGTGGGAAGATGAGGGCAGAAGGAAAGATGGCTGATATACAGGGTGCTGTTGTATGGCTAAAACTGTGATATGTGGGGATGTGGGGGTAAAACCTGAATGTTCAGAGAATTTCTAAAGTTGTGATTAATTAGTTTCCTGTATACTGTTTTCTAAGAGAAGTAATAGAACCATAGAGAAGTAATTTGATCTTTAAAAATCTTCAGTTTTCACATAGAACAAAATTAACTTACATACTCACCTAACTAGAGTATTATAAGGCTTAATAATAAAAGGATGTTTATAAAATGGTTTGGGAATATGGGAAGTTAGAAATTAAGCTAATGAGATGAAAATCACTCCTAGGGAGTAAAGAGAAAATGACAGAACAGAGTTCTGTATCTTCTGTACAGGGCTTGGGCTTTATTCCACTACTTCTGATTGGTGAGAATGCATTCTAGAATGCCTTCTGGTTTGTTCTCCAAGTACTGGCTGAAAGGGTTAAGGGGAGAAATGGAGGCGAATAGAACTGATGTGGAAAAAAATTTCAGAGGAAATTTGGAGTAGATATAGTAGAGTTTTTGTTTGCCTATTTGATTCATTTTGGAGAAAAGAAGCAGCCCTATTCCTTATTCTCTTTCCTTTTCCCACCTCAAATTTATTTTTTTGGAGAGGTTTTTGCTATAGGGCATGTGCGCTCACCAGAAAGAGACAGAAAGACGGAAAGCGAAAAAATCAACCCCCCCCCCACCAGGGGGTATGGCTACACCACAATCCCTTCTCCTCCATTCTCCTCTCAGGATCTTGGGCATGCACACACACGCACCCGGAGTGAGTTTAAGCCACCAGGTCTGGGACTCGAACCGCGGTCGACTACATGGGAGTCCAGCGACATAGCCATTATGCCAACTGCTGGTCCCCCCACCTCAAATCTTATATAAGCACAAATATAGGAGAAAATGTACTATTCTGAGATGATTCTGCTCTAGATATTTCTGGTGATATAGTTTATCTCCAAAATTAGAAGGCAACATAAGCCATGTAAAAGTGAACATTTTTTCCTTTTCACAGAAACGAATAAGCCTGACAGGGCACTCTAGAGTCACTAATGATTAGCTATTTTTTTTTTTTCTGGAAGTTGATGATGAAAAAGAAAGTCCCAATAAAGCCCAATTTGGTGAGAGAAAAAAACTCAGCTCCAATTTACTTCAAATAGTATAAAAATTCTGAATAGGATAACATAATGAACCGTTGGTTAAAAATAGGCAAACCATCGTTACAGATACTTCAGACAAGAATATATAGAGATGGTCAATAAGCACATGAAAAGATGTTTGCAGTCATTAGTCACTGAGCAAATGGAATTAAAACCATAATGAGACACCCACCATACACTCACTAGAATGACTGAAATTAAAAAGACATGTATTACCAGTGTTGGTGAGGATGCAGAACAACTGGAAAGCTCTTACATTTGTGGTGGGAATGTAAAATGGTACAACCACTTGGAAAACAGTATGGCAGTTTTATTAATTAATTAATTAATTAATTAATTAATTAATTATCTAACCACTTGGAAAACAGAATGGCAGTTTCATTTATCTATCTATCTACCTACCTACCTACCTACCAATTTATTTATTTATTTTTGAGAGATTTTGCTAGCGTGCATGTGCACTTGCCAGAGAGATAGAGACAGACAGAAAGTGAGAAATCATCCCCTGGGGGATGGCCACACAACAATCCCTTCTCCTCCATTCTCCTCTCAGGATTTTGGGCATGCACGCACATGTGTCTGGCATGAATATCAAGTTGTCTGGTCTGGGACTGAAACTGTGGTAACTATACGGGAGTCTAGTGATATAACCATTACGTCATATGCTGGTCCCAGCATGGCAGTTTCTTAAAAAGTTAAACCCAAACCTACCATATAATCCAGTTATTCCACTCCTAGGTATTTACACAAAAGATAAGGAAATATAGTCTATACAGATATATAGATGTTCATAGTAGTTTTATTTTTAATAGCCCAGAAAGGAAAAATCCAAATAACTGATCAACAGGTAAATGGATAAATCTAACAGTGATATAACTGTACAACTGAATACTAACAGTGATAAAGAAGTATGAACTATATAGACATATGCAACGACATGAATGAACCTGGAAATAATTATGCTGAGGAAAAGCAGCCTGATGAGTACATACTTTGTGATTCCATTTACATAAACTCTTGAAAATGCAAAATGAGCTAATCTGTAGTAACAGTGGTTGCTTCGAGATGAGGCAGGAAGAGATTATAAAGCAGCATTTTTTGGGGTGATGGATGTGTTCACCACCTTGATTGTGGTGATGATCATTTCACAGACATATATGTCTGTCAAAACCTATCAAATTGTATACTTTATTGTCTTATTTGTTTATGTTTTTGCTATAGGGTGCATGCACTCGCCAGAGAGAGAAGGAAAGTGAGAAATCACCCCATCACTGGGATGGTCATACCACAATCCCTTCTCTTCCAGTCTCCTCTTGGGATTTTGGGCATGCACACACATATGCGCCCAGCAGAATTTTCAAGCTACTGGGTCTGGGACTTGGACCACAGTCAGCTATGTGGGATTTAGCACCTTAATCACCACATGCTACCTGTGGCCCCCCAAATTTTATACTTTAGATATGTATGGTTTATTGTGTATCAATTAATATCTCAATAAAGCTGTTTTTAAAAATCACCAACAAGATTAAAAAAGATGTTGGTAATTGTTGAAACTGGATGATAGGTATATGAGGGTTCATTATACTATTGTTTTCCACTTTTGAGCATTTAAAAAATTTTATAGTAAAAATATTTTACTTCATACTCATGAAGACAGTTATTATCATAAAGACAGTTTCGATATTATCATGAAGATAGTTATTAGCAAAAAGATGATAAGTATTGGCAAGGATGTGGAAAAACTGGAATCTTTGTTTATGGTTGATGGGAATGTAAAATGATGCAGCTCCTTCGGAAAAGAATTCAGCAGTTTCTCAAAATGTTAAACATAGTTACCATATGACCCAGCAGTTTCACTTCTAGGTATATGCCCCAGGGAGCTGAAAACCTGTGTTCACACAAAACTGTAACACAAATGTTCATACCAGCACTATTTATAACAGCTAAAAAACAGAAAAATCCCAGTAGCCATCAACTGATAAATGGATAAATAACATGTGGCATATTCAGATAGTGAAATATTATTTAGCTGTAAAAAGGAACGAAGGTACAACACAGATGAACCTTGGTATATTATTATTATGCCAAATGAGAGAAGCCAGCCTCAAAAGACTACAGATGGCACAGATGTGAATAAAGCAGTGAATGGAACCTTACCCTTATCAGGCTGAGAACTTGGTGAAGAAATCTCATCATATTCACCTATTAAGAGCTTCGGTTTTTCAACATGAAGTTTTCCCAAACAATAAGACTGTGCAGGGTGTACGATGCAGGGATTACAGATCACTACTCCACTCCCATTCACCTGAAACCAAGCACAATTTTGTTAAAAAGACAAGTTAACTCAAAGTTTGGAATTACATCATCAGCACAGACCAGTCATCTGAAATGTCACAGTATTAATCTTTATGTTCTTTTGTTGTTCCTTTTTTTTTTTAATTGCCAGAGGACATGTGCACTTGTCAGAGAGAGAGAGAATGAGAGAAAGGAAAAAGTACCCCCCAGTGGGGTGTGTTCACACTGCAATCCCTCTTCCTCTATTTCTCCACCCTGTCAGGATTTTAGGTACACACACACACCACCACCACCCCACATACATGCCTAGGATGTTTTTCAAGTGCCAGGTGGAGACGACAGCAGTTGGCCATGTGGGACCAGACTCCTTTAACCACTAGGCTACAGAGTTGACCCCATTTTATTTTATTTTGCTTTCTGTAAGTCTGAAAATAAAACCTAACTTTTTGAGCATACATCTTACCTTAGAAAGAAAAATAATATTTTGTTCAAGATTATATTAAATAAAAATAATTTATATTTATATTTAGATAGAGTGGGGGATGGGGAGATAATGGTCAAAGGGTATAAAGTTTTAGTCAGACAAAATGAGTAAGTTATGGAGATCAATTGTACAGAATGGTGACCTACAGTTAATGTATTGCATACTTGAAAATTGCTCAGAGTAGATCTTAAAATGCTTTTACCATATATATACACAAAAAGATAATTACATGAGGTGATGAATATATTAATCAGCTTGATTACAATAATCATTTCACAGTATATACACATATCAAAACATCATGCTGTATACTGTAAGTGTGTATCACTGTTTATCATTTATAAATTGCAAATACCTCCATAAAACTGAAAAAATATAAAATTATCCCAGATTTACATCCCAGAATCTGAAAATAGCACTCATGAACTTTAATATAGTCAATCTGAACTAGGAGTTTAAGAAGTTTTGCTGGCTTTCAAATCAAAGTACTGGCCTCAGTAATCTATGATTTAGAAGCCAGTAATTTTTATGTTCCTGTTGGTGAACAAAATTATCAGTTACTCCCCCTTTCCCCAACATACTTTTCTTTCACTCTTACTAACAAACCTCAGGCAATGTTTCCAGTTCAAAGACATTTTTCTGGCCATTTTCATAGCAAGATGTGGTCATGTGATAAATTCTAGCCCCTAAGAACGCCAAAGTGCCATGTAGAACTACAGGACAGCTCCTCCTTCCTGCTGCTGGAGTGAAGATGGCATGACTAGAGTTCAAACACCATCAGGGAACGTGAGGGAGGAAGCCAGTGACTCAGGGCAGAAAGATGGAACATACCTGGATGTCTCTCCTGACACCACTGGGCTGTCACAGCAGCCTTGTATTGCCCACCTTCAAACTTCGCTTTTAAGTGAGAGGATGAATAAACCTTATGAGCTCAAGCTATGGCAGAAAATCACCTCTGCATAAGTTTAAAACGAATTGCATAAAAATAACCAAAATATTGATGTAGAGAAAAGGGAAACTGACTTTTCCCAATTATAAATGACTTTTCTTTTATATGTATTTTTCTACACTGAATATAGTCTATAATTTATAAAAGTTACTGAATTTCAATGCCAACTCAAATGATCGCAGAGTCCTATGATGGTCTCTTTTCACTAATCTGAGATCTTTGGGCTCCAGGGAGTGAGAATATATAGACAAACTCTGTATTTGATTTCACTTAATTCTCACAACTATGGAAGGCAGGGATTACTACTCCCGTTTTTGCAGGTTGAAGAAACATATTCAGAGATAAAAGTGAACCCCACTGATAGCCATATGGGATTCAGCCATCTTAACCACGAAGCTATCAGCTCTATGTGGCAATTTAAATGAAAGTGTTGAAACCAATGTCATGTCTATGATGTACTAAAGGAAAAAAAGATGTAGAACTGTACCTATTTACCTATCAGTCATAAAACTCAATTTCAGTCAAAATAATTTGACACATAGAACCACAAGTTAAATACAACATATACCTATATATTTACTGTAAGGAGGTAGTTACAGAGCTGGCCTGTGATCCATTCACTCCCCTTCCTGGAGCGGAAGGCAGGCAGCATCTGGATCTCTGAGGAAAGAGCCTAATGATATTTGCTAGGAGGGAGACCTTTTATCTCTAAAATGCTCTTAGCAAGATGTCCCTGGCAACGGATTATCTCTGGGAATAGATAAACCCAGAATCTGAGGCATAACTCCCTAAAAAATGTCTTTCTTGCTGGCAAGCGTACACACCCTCTGGCAATTACAAAAAACTCTATTATATATAGTATCTCTCAAATTTTTTTGTTATTTAAAATTATATCATTGAATTGCATTTGACTTTAAAGTTAGCAAGATAAAAAGGTTAACTAAAGGTTTTTTTTAGATCTTTTTCAATTCAAAATTAACATTCACAAACTGACCACAGTAATGTGCTATTTTCTATGAAAAATCTTTAATAAGAACAGGTAAATATTGTCTTTCGGTGACATCAAAACTTAGTATAAATGCAAAATTTACTGAAGAGTTATTTAGAAGTTCAAGACACCCTAAAATAGAACAATGATTTCCCTTTCAGTTCAACCCTTAATACCAGCCTTCTCAATTCTAAAAGGCAATGTTATAAGTTGAGGTCACTTTAAACTCCTTTATCCACCAAACTCTTTTTTTTTTTTTTTTTTTTTTTTTTTTTTTTTTTTTTCAGAGATAGAGCATAAGCTTTAACTAATCTTAAAGAAAAACTTTTAAATTATTTCTTTCATGAGAGGGGAATGAGAGAGGCAGAGAAAGGAACCACAACAGGGTCTTTGCATTGTAGTCAACCTGGTCTCAGCCAGCCCAGATCACTGAGGTATGTCTGCACCTGGCATGCTCATGGAGGTTCCAGGATGTGAACCTGGGACCTTTTCCAGGTGGGTCCAGCTGCATTATCACTGCACCAACATGTGACCTCTTACTTTAGTTTATCTATATTAAGTAGTTTCATAAGTTCAAGCTCAAAATCTCAGCCATTTTCCTCCCTCAGACAAGTCCTGAGTCATGTCTATTCTAGCTTTGTACTTTGCTCTTTCAAAACTATCCCTTCATTTTTCAATCCCTACAAACTCTAGTTAGTTCAAGTTTTCCATTCTTTGGGCTTTCATTAAATTTTATTACTATTTATTGAGTTTTGACTTCAAGATACTATGGTGGGTAGTGAGAGGAATAGGAAAAAAGAGATGAACATTTATTGAATGCCTACTGTATGCCAAACAAGAGAACAGATTATTCTTTTGGTCATTTACCTCTCCAAGGTAAGCGGAATTTCCTTTATTTTGAAGATCAGAATATTGAGATTCAAATTAAAATATCTTGCCATATGTATTACTTGATAGAGCCAGACGCTAAATTTTGGTTGTCTTAACTCTTTTCATTATATATACATGACTGTTTCCTACATTGGGGATGGTAAGTGAATAAGACAATTGTTAATAAAGAAGAATTACAATTTTGTAAAAATGATAAGCAAAGAACTATGATACAAGACAAAAAAGTGTTAAGTGCTGTTAAGATGTAAGAGGGTATAAAGTCTTCTTGCTAAGGGGTTGGGCAAAGACTGGAAAAGAGATTTTGAATTGACCCTTACGAGATGGGTAAAAATTAAAGAAAACAAACGAGTGAAGAAAGGATATTATGAAAAAGTCAAGGGCATTAGAAAACAACTTCTGTTTTAGATGAAAACAAGAGATGCATAAAGTTAGTGAAAGTGCTAAAGGTGGAATGGGCCCAAATCATCAAAGACCTCATTTGGGCATTTGAATTTAATTTTACAGTCAATAGGGGTAGAAAAAAAGAGACTCAAAATGAGGATATTGTGGGGCCAGCAGGTGGTGTGGTAGTCAAGGTGCTGGACTCCCATATGACCAACCACGGTTTGAGTCCTGGACCCAGCAGCTTGAAAACCATGCCAGGCTCATGTGCATATGTCCAAAATCCCAAGAAGAGAACAAAGGAGAAGGGACTGCAGTATGGCCACCCTGCTTGGGGGGTGATTTCTCACTTTCCCTCTCTCTCTGTCTCTCTCTGGCCAGTGCACACACCCTATAGCAAAAACTCAAAAAAATGAGGATATTGTTAGGAAGCTGTTGCTGGCAGCAAGTGGTTATTGGGCTACACCCAAAGAGTGGCAGGGGAAATGGATAGAATGGAAGAATTTAAGACAGTCTAAAGGGGGAATTAAAGGAACCTGTGCTAGTTAGGAAGAGAGCAGGTAGAAGGCAGAGGGGAGCACAGACCAGTCTAAGTCTTTGATCTTGGGTAATTTTTGTCAGAGAAGTAAGAGTGAGAAGAGCTATTGTTATTCTCCAGGGCGCAGGTTGTAGGCAGTGAAGTGGAGAAGCATGTGTTAAAAAATACAGCAACTTCAGTTTTGAAATAAATTCAGATTCTATCATATTCACAGTATCTTCCACATCTCTCCGTCTGTATGTTCAATTTCTCTATGAAATTGGGTTTAAATAATTTGCAGATGTTCTAGGTACTTTGAAATTCCTTACCTATTAAAATAGTTGGGCCCTTGAATTAACTGTGTATGTATCAACTTCAGTGCATATGGTGGGCAACAGAAATCATTAGAGAAAAGGAAGATGGCTTGGTAGTGAATTCTGGGGGGTTAGTAGAAAACTTCCCTTAGGAGATTTTGACGCCACCTCTATTCCAATTGCATAGTGATTACTATTAACTCATTAAAAGGTTGTAGAATAGTTTGAAGAACATAGACTGCAATTATGATGGAGTACAGTGAAAGTACCACTTTCCCTGACCTGGACGCTATTTCCATTCTTACCATTTTATTTAGTGTTAGCTTTTTAATTTTATTTTAAAATACGTAATAGGCACCATATTACTGCTTTCTATTGACCTTTTTAATGGTTAAAGTCCTGGTGGTATCATCTCTTCTTCCACTTTGGCTATTGTCTCCTTTCTGATACTTATGAAACAGATTTTTTTTTTATGCAGGAATTAGTACTTCACATTGTTATGGATTTAG